TAATACATAGTACAATCATATTTGTAGCAGTTCTATCATTTATTATAGAATATTAAATAATTAATATATATATATATATATTCGTTTTTATATAAAATGCATATTTATCCTTATAATATATATAAAAAGTATGAAATCTGGAATTTCCAAATACGTGATTTTACCATGAGAAAAAGGATAAAATGCGCTTTAGTCAACAGATGGGTTTTTATTACTTTACCTCCAAAGAGGGTTTTCTTGAAAATTGAAAGACAATTTTTTATGACATCTTTGGGTTTTTTCCCTTTAGTTTATGGTTAACAATTGTACTAGAGTTTTAAGAACATATTGTCTCCCAAGTGACAATAGGTAAATTTATATCGCCGAAAATATGTTTTGAAGCTTAGTAATTTTTTGTAACGATATTCTTAAAGACATATTGGATGTCTGCAGGACATATGCTTTTTATCTTTGTTATATTTCAGCTATTGATAGGGAGATATTTGAAGTAGTAAATATTTTAGAACATATTTATAAAGTTTAATGCCAACAGTTCCTCTCAATCTATGAACGAGTTATAATAATTTTAAATCAAAAATTAATATTATATTTTGCCGCGACATTTAATCGCATGTCGATTAATATCGAATTACGATTCGAGCGAGATAATAGTCGCTCGTCACAGGTTTTTGACATGCTCGCTTTCGATTGAAGATCTTTAAAGTTGAACTGCAATGAAATGCAATATGTTTCCTATAGCAATATACCAATAAGATTCAACTAAATTTTAATATCAAAAATTATGTTCCTAAAGTTTTGAACATTCAAATGAAAGAAATATGTTTTCCGTTAAGAGCATTTGAACCTTCGTGACGTCACGAATCATGGCGCTTAACACGCAAACTTCTCAGGTGTGTGAGAAGCACAATTTTGAATATTTTTTAATAAAACCTTTTGGAAAATGTTCAGAATATCATAGACTTTGTCTGTTATGTGCGAGAAAATAATAATTTTGCGTTTAAAACGGTTTTTAAACAATGTTTGAGTTGCATGTAAGAGGTAAGGAAAAATGCACGAATTGCCTATATATAGGCGTTTCTTTGGAAAAACCAGGATAAGAATTGTAAAGTTCTTATCTAATTTATTCAATATCTAAATTGATTTGATTATAAATAATAACTAAAATTATTTATTAATAATTAAACAATAAATTGTTGTTGTTTATGAATTCTTTTTTCAAAAAGAACATATAAAAATGCAGTTTTTTTCTTATTTTGAAATTTGACAATTTAAAAATTGTGAAACATAATGTTTAAAAATTGAATTATTTTTCAATTTTTTAAATAAATCAGTACATAATTATTGTTTTTCATGTATTTAAAAAAAACCTAAAAAAGGCATTTTTTTTACTAATTTTGATATTTCAAAATTGTAAAAAATAATGTTTAAGAAATGAAAAATTTATCAATTTTTTAAATAAATAATTTTTGTTTTTACGTATTTTATTCAAAAAAATTCTAAAAAAATTAAGTTTTTTCCTAATTTTGCTTATTGCAAATTTCAAAATTGTAAAAAATAATTTTTAAGAAATGAATAATTTATCAATTTTTTAAATTAAATATTTTTTTTTTGTATTTCCTCAAAAAAACCCTAAAAATTATAGTTTTTTTTCCTAATTTGATATTTCAAAATTTCAAAATTATAAAAAATAATATTTAGAAAAGAATAATTTATCAATTTTTTAAATAAATAATTTTTGTTTTCTATTAAAAAAACAAATATAATATTGCATTTTTCAAAAAGAACATATAAAAATGCAGTTTTTTCATAATTTTTCACATTACTCATCTCAATGTGGTAAAAAATAAAGGTTAAAAATAAATTTATTTTTCAACAATTTGATAAACAATAAATTGTTGTTATTTATGTCCTTTTATAAAAAAATCATTAAAATTCAAATTATTTTTCAATTCTTTTAACAGATAATTAGGGTCAACTGGGGTAAATCCGAACGCTTTTAGTAAGTTTCAACAATAACATAAGTTTTTTCTTTAAAAAAAAAATACTTCCGGTATTCTGGTGCATGAAGTTGTTACTTTACTTTCATAGAACAATTTTATGGGGTAGAAAAATTTTTTGATAAATTACAATCGCAGGAAACTTAGCGTTCGTATTTACCTCGATACTTTGCAACTTTCCTAAAATATGGGGGTAAATACGAACGCCACTGTATTTCAGAAAAATCTTAGGGAAAATAAATTTAAAGTATTGCAATTGTTAAACTTATATAAAAACTAAAAAAAAATACGATAATAAACCTATTATGTAATAATGCATCATATATAAATACAAAAATCAAACAGGTTAAAAATTAAAATGCATTACAAAATTAAAACCTTCAATAACTTTATCAAATCATAACGGATTTTTACAAAACTTGGTACAGAAAGTATTTTGGAGTGATTGAATGTAAATACAAAAATAAAAGTCAAATTTTTTAAATTCAAAATGGCGTACTTTCCTAAAACTTATTTTTAAAAATGATCAAATTTGCTAACCCTGAAACCCCCCGAGTAACAATTTTCGAGCGAATCCAATGAATTTTTTAATTCTCGTCCGCCATTTTGAATTTTGAAAAACTGACTTCAAATTGGTAATTAGCGACCCCAAAAACCGTAGAATACCAAATTTTATTAAGATCCTGAAAAACTTTTTTCAACAAACCATTTGGCAAAAAAATTGAAACACTCCTTCGAGAGAACAGAGATTAAGTTTCTGCTTATTAATTACTAACGAGGATACGTATAGAAAGAAAAACTTTTTTCTATGTACTTTTATAATGTTAAAATAATAGTGTAATCAAATAAAAACAATTTTGTGTGGCTTTGATGTAAAAAAAAATTATTAAAAATACCGTTCGGATTTACCCCAGTTTTCCAATTTTCTTGGGTAAATACGAACGGTCTGATATTATTAATAAAATTTTACAGAAGGCAAAAATCAAATATAGTTTCTGTTCTAGTATTCATAACAAACAATTATAAATAATAAAATGAATTTTTAGCTTCTTTTTCTTCAAATACGAGACAAAATACTGAAAGAGTGTCATCTTTGATTTTCAATCTTTTTTGCAATACTTGTTATCTTTGTTTATGCTGTTGCTAATTAACAAACAAAAACCGGGATAATACTTAGAATCTCTTCAAGAGGATCTGAGGTAAAAATTCTCATATCGAACTTATTTTTAAAAATTTTAATTAAGCTGAAATAATTAGCGTTCGGATTTACCCCCCGTTCGGATTTACCCCGACTGACCCTAATGTTTTTTCTGTACTTTTTTCAAAAAACATATATGAAATTGCAGTTTTTTCCGAATTTTACAAACTACTTATTTTAATGTTGTAAAAAATAGAGGCTAAATTCAAATTATTTTTCAATTTTTAAAAAAAATAATTATTGTGTTTTACGAATTTTTTTTTAAAAAACCCCAAGAAATACAGTTTTTTCCTAATTTTGCTATTTGCAAATATCAAAATGGTAAAAAATAATGTTTAAAAGATGAATAATTTTTCAATTTTTTAAATAAATGATGATTGTTTTTTACGTATTTTTTTTAAAAAAACCCCCAAAAATACAGTACTTTCTTAATTTAATATTTGCCCTCATAACAAAAGGATATCCCTAGGATATCCATATTAATGGTCGATACCCTAGAATGGTCCCCAGGATATCTTGGGATATCCATAGGATATTCAAACCGCCGGTCTGTGGGACATCAATAGGACATCCACAGGATATCCCTAAAACATCTACAAAATATCTATTGGATATTATATCGCAGGATATCCATGGCATATCCTCAGAATATCCGTGGGATATTCTCAGGATATTCACGGGACATTTAATATCTCAACATATATTTTTAAAGGTTAAAATTGTTAAGCTAATATAATGAATAATAATATAATAAAAACAAAAATCTTATGAGCTTCTAATTTATTTTAAATGAAGATTTGAAACGCATTCGTTATTTGCGGCAAGAATTTATATTGTTTAAAGCCAATTTATTTTCTGACAATATTAAGCATATGAATAAAGGAATGAATCACGAATGAGAAAAAAATTAGTTAATAATTTTTCAAATTAAACAACTTTAAAAACAGTATCCTGAGAATATCTTCTTGACATCCAGAAGATATACTGAGAATATCCTGAAAATATCTGTGTTTTGACAACTTATGAAATTAATTACTATCTACGTAAATAATAATTAATAATTTTTATTTAAAAACGTATACATGTTCGTTCTGGTCAAAATAATCTTTCTGGTATTGTTGAAATATTAGAAAAAATAATTGAAATCCAAAGTACTCTGCTTATGATGCCAACCTAGAAATCTGAAATTCCAGCCAGTATCATTTTGAATAACATGAAGTTTGTCCCATATTCATTTCGATACCCAAAAGAAAATGAGTTGCAACAAAAATGAGTCCAAGTTTTTTCTGTGTGTGTAAGTTTGAATTTGCACTTGCGTACAGCAAAATAATATTTATTCACTGTATTATCTATGATTTTTAAGAATCATTTATTGAAAGCATAGTTGCGACAAATATTTTACTTTGAAATTATTCAAAGCATAATTGCGACAAATATTTTACTTTGAAATTATTCAAAGCATAGTTGCGACAAATATTTTACTTTGAAATTATTCAAAGCATATAGTTTACATATGTTTAACATAAAATTAGAAATTTTAAACACATTTTACATGTCAAATGTTTAACATTTACAGGTTTTTTACCGGCGGTAATACTTATCGTAACGACGGTAACGATCATCATACCGTTGAATATGTCGATCATCATGACGTTCGACAGGACGATCGTCGTACCGACTACTAAAATGATCGGCATATCGTTCGTTATCCCGATCGTGATATCGGTCGCTATCCCGATCGTGATATCGGTCGCTCCGACGATCGTCCCGTCGAACTCCATAACGATGATCATAATTCATAATTCTACGGTCGTAATTATAATTATTATACCTGTAGTTTGGAGGAACGTTTCGATAATTGTCATAATGATCATATTGATGGTCAAGACTATAATCATCATATTTTTGACGTTCCTCCAAACTATTAGTATTTGATTTTTGGTTCTTTGAATTGGTTACTTTTTTTTTTTATCATTCACTTTAATTTTCTCTATTTTTTCTTCTTCTTCATCAACTTCATCTTCTTCTTCTTCATCGTTTGTCACATATTCCTTCTTCTTATTTTGTACTTTTTCTTCCTCTTCCTCTTTTTTTTCTTTTACATCATTTTCCTTATTTCCATCATTTTTTTCCTCATTTGATTTTTTAAAATAAGCGTTTAACGCTTTTGTTGTCATATTTTGTACTATGGCATACAGGGACTGAAAAAAGATTTTAAATTAAAATTTTAAAGAGAATTTGAATTGAAAAATATTTTAAGGGGACATTCTAGTTCAAAATGGGAAAAAGAAGGCTTTTTTACGATTTATTTCTAAAAAAAATCATGACATTTATTCAGAAATTTTTGTTTACATGTTATAAATAACTTATTGAAGAATATGAAAAAAAAAATTTTACTTATAGTCCAAGATGGCGGCGATGTACAACATTTTCAAAAAATGTTCATTTTTTCATGGGGGGATCGATTCAGCGATCTCTACAACAGATAGAGACATAAAATAAAAAGCATTTTCTTCGTTAGATATTTCTCTATGGATGGAACCTCAAAAACTGGAAAATTTCTTTTTCCCTTTTTTTCTACAACAGAAATTCTGAATAAAAATATGTGTTTTTTCAAGTTTTTAGAAAAACATACTATAAAAAAAGAAGGGGACGAAAATTCCACTTTTTTGAGGTTCCATCCATAGAGAAATATCTAACGAAGAAAATGCTTTTTATTTTATGTCTCTATCTGTTGCAGAAATTGCGGAATCGATCCCCCCGTGAAAAATAAACATTTTTTAAAATGTTGTACATCGCCGCCATCTTGGACTACAAGTGCAAAATTTTTTTTTTAAATTCTTCAATAAGTTATTTATAACATGTAAACAAAAATTTCTGAATAAATGTCATGATTTTTTTAGAAATACATCCTAAAAAAGTCTCCCTTTTCCCCATTTTGAACTGGAATGTCCCCTTAAGTAATAAAATTTTAAAATTAATATTAAAATTTAAATTAATTAAATTAATTAATTTTGACGTGACAACGTCTTACTCTAAGGTCTAGGTAGCCAGTCAGAAAAATTAGCGTTCATATCGCCGTCGATTTCTCGAAAACAATAAGTCATATTTTCAAGATTTTTGTGTTATTTGATTACTTTCGATCTAATCTCGATGCCAAACTTAATTTTGTCCAATTTGAAAATGAAATTTTTTATAGTTTTCTATGTTACCGACCGGTTAAAGATTCGCCGCCAACTCATCCCCGTGTACCTGCTCAGAGGCAAATTTTCGTCCCCGTATGTTCCCCCACTACCGGCCGTACTGTACCCCTCCTTTCAGTCTGACTGCATGTGTTTTCCACTTCCCCCTTCTCCTGCACAATGAATTTTTTATTTAATTTTTAATTTAATTTTCTTAGATTTTGAATTGAAATTTTTGATAATAATTTAATTTTAGTTGATTGTTGATTGAAAATTTTGATAATAATTAATTTTGACTCGAAATTTTGGAAAATAATTGAATTTTAGTTGATTTTGAATTGAATTTTTGGGTAACAATTGAATTTTATTTGATTTTAAATTAAAATTTTTTGAAAATAATTGAATTTTCTTTGATTTTGAATTGAAATTTTGAATAATAATTAAATTTTAATTGATTTTTAATTGAAATTTTGGTTAATAATTAAATTTTAGTTTATTTTGAATTGGAATTTTTGAAAATAATTCAATTTTATTGCGATATTTTTTTAAAATTATAAACAATTGTTAAATTTTATAAAAATTTTATTTGAAAAATAATTTTGAAATAATTGAATTTGTGATGAATTTCATTAAAATTATTAAAAATAATTAATTTAATGAAGAATTATTTTAGTTCAAAATTTGTTAAATAATTGAATTGAAGAAGATCTGAAGAAGATCTACATTTTATCCTAAAAAAATGTATTTTATTAAAATTTTTTTTAATGTAAAAAAAGTCGAAAAAATTGCCCTCTGACTGAACAGGGGTACAGTACGGCCGGTAGTGGGGGAACATACGGGGACGAAAATTTGCCGCTGAGCAGGTACACGGGGATGAGTTGGCGGCGAAAAGTCGTCTGCCCATTCATTTTCTTACCTCATTATTTTCACCTATCACTCTTGGCGGCAACCGCAAAGCTGGTACGGCACCTCTCCCAACACCACCACGAGTTTTTACTGTTCTTGACATTGTCCCTATTGAAAGAAGTTGCTGATTAAATTTTCCTTTCAATGAAACAATAAAATTAATAAATATTATTTTATTTTATGAATCTGCATTTAAAAAAACACCTTATAAAATGAAAATGAAATAAAAGTTGAAAAAAATTATTTCAATAATTGTTTCGTTTACTCTCTAAATCTGAATTAGTAAAAATGTTTACTAATTTAAATTAGTAAACATTTGTTACGAACCGAAAAAATATTAATTATAAAAATTATTATTTTCTATGTCCTGGAGGCACCAAGCTGCCGAAATTAAAAAATTCCGTTTAATTTTATGGGATCGTGTATCCTTTTTTAGAAGAAAACTGCCAAGTTACGTTATTCGGAATTGAATTTAAGGGATAAGACACAATAAAACAATTAAGACCCTTTTATACATTTATTATAAAAAGAAATCTTTGATTTTAAAATGTTGAAATAATACAATAAGATAAGAAGATGGAACGATACATGTTTAAAAACTTACTCTACTGCTTATTATACCATCGCAAGCTAACGAGGGCGAGGCTTCGAGCTGCTTTCCGACGGGCGAAAAAAAATACATACACTTATCAAAGCGCGAAAATGTCATTTGGTAGCGCACAAGAATGCACTTACGGGTCCACCGAATTTAAACAGCGCAGGCACCACACGTGCGGACTGGCCAGTCAAAAAGACAAAAATTCAATAATTTGATTTTATTCAAATCATTGGATTTTTATTAAAGACGACTTCCGTTGGACTTCGTCGGCGTGAAGTATTCATTTTAACTTTACGTCCGTCCAATTTTAATCACTATCTATGTAGTGGATTGTAAAAATTGGAAATCCGACTCACGGACGGGCTTAGTCCCGGCGTCTCAAAATCGTTTTTACACCTCTGAAAAATTTCAGAGCTGACTCGCGAATGAGAGTTGTACAGCAATTAATTGATTTCCGCGATGCTCTTTTATATGAACGTTTAGAGACTTCAGGTGGTAAAATTTTGTGGACTAAGGGTTTTTAACACGTGAATAAGGCGTGAGCTCTGGGCCTGTTACTATGCCAATAATGCTGAGTTTTCGTTTTCTGTTAACAGATATAGCCAAATATAATAATATGCACTTAATAAAAATTAAGCATAAATTATTATTGAAAGACTTGTTGTTTTTCTTTTATTTTTTTTTGGATTTATTTTATGAATTTTCCTTGTTGGAAAATGTTTTGATTTTGGGTATTTTTACCCCTTTTTCATTTGCGACAATTACAACTTTGATGTTGTGTTGTCGTGGGCATGTAAGATTGTTAGGCCCAGAATACGTAATAAAAAGGGGTAAGCAAGGATCGGAAACTGAAGAATTACGTTCATGGAAAAAGCTCATCGCACAGATTTGTTTTAAATATCATTTCCCATAATTCGTGAGAAGTCCAATTTCTAATGTGGTTTCTACGCCTATCTATACTCGTTTAAGACCCGCAAGCAATAATAGTGAACCGTACATGAGTAAAACATTTATTGTTGTTATTTGTAATCATTAGCTTCCATATTTTTATCTTGAGAACGTTAGTCTAAGAGAAAAAGATTCGCTGGTACAATGTATCTCCTTTTCTCTTAGAACGGCTGCTAGGTGGAAAGAGACGCACGCTCTATAGTGAATACAAGCGAGAACACTATGCGGTTGAGAAAGAACGCATCAATAATGTATCAGAGAGAGAAAGATTCCTATGTATAGCATATCTTCTTTCTCTCTCGCGCAATGCCGAGAGATGCGCGGGGAGCTGCCACTGAACGCGTTCAGCGGTGGCCCCCACTAGTCAGCGCGGAAATATTATTTTAATTTCGATGCCAAAAATTATAATTTCCTAAATTTGGTTCAGTTAATTCCAAATTTTGCGGTTGGTTTAATTTGATCCAACTAATTATATATCTTAAACAATAACATTGATAATAATAATATATAGGTATGAACATAAGGATATATGCGTAAATATCCATCCCATAACATTCTCATAGGTACACGCATGGATAACCAATGGTCCGCGATGCTTTACAGGTTATCCGGATTAACATCGGTGTTTATAGTTCGGGAACGTTGCGGCAAGGTTTATTGGATTTAGAAAATTAAATAGAATAATAATTTCAAAACCGCAACTTTCCCAAAAATTCCGTTCGCTAGTTACGTTGTTTATAATCTGGGAACTTTGAGAAAAGGTTACCTGAGCTCGGAAAGACCTCGCAAGCTTCGTTTTCTACTCGCAACCTTCCCAATTGGTAACTTTGTTGTTTATGGATTGGGAAGTTTGCACCAAGGTTTTTAAAGCCTGCGGCGTCGTTCCGAGTCCGAATATCATATTTTTATAATTTTACTTTGAGTAGTTCCTGAGTTATTCACGAAAAATGCCAGGAGGCTCGCCGCAAGGTTCCGATGGTACTACAATACACGGGGAGCTCGTATCTATGCTCCTTCTCAATATTATAGACCATTAATTATCCCATACGTCTAAAAATAATTAATTATAATTTAGGGAAAGGTTAATAACCCATACCGATTTCAAGAGCTAAAATAAAAGAATTTTAATTTCGAAATATAATTTAATTTCAAGCATTTAGCAATTGTTTCAAATAGGTGAATATACTGGGGGTGCTGACGCATGGAAATTCCAGGTAGTTGCGCGAACTTTGGACTTGCTTAGAAAAATAAAGCGAGTCCAAAAGAAATTGAAATTAAATTTTTTTTTGAGAAAATATATTATAATTATATAAAATAATGTAAAAGTTTTTGACGTTACACATTTTTACTAAAAATGTAAAATTAATAAAATAAAATAAAAAAAGTAATAAAATTTTAGTAAAAATGTTTACTAATTTAAATTAGTAAACATTTTTACTAATTTAGATTTAGAGAGTAAACGAAACAATTATTGAAATAATTTTTTTCAACTTTTATTTCATTTTCATTTTATAAGGTGTTTTTTTAAATGCAGAATTTAAATTAGTAAACATTTTTACTAATTCAGATTTAGAGAGTAAAAAATGTCATGAAATGCTATAAATGTATTTTCACTAGTTTTTAAAAAAAATTTAAATATGGCAACCAGGCCTGGCCCTGGTCGGGTCCATAGAAATTTACCAACCCGGGGCCAGAACTGGAAATCGGATTAAATTAAAATGACGTACATAATAGTATCTAATTATACTAATAAATTGTAATAATAATTACAGTACATTGTCATAATTATTTAATTTGTTGAATTTATTTAATTAATTTTTTAATTTAAAAATATTCAATTTTTCCATAGAAAAATGATGAGAAATATTTAGCATTGAAAAGAATATACTGTTGTATAAAATATATATATGTTATTAATTATTTAAATAAATTTTATTAATTATTATTAATTTAACACCCGTTTATTAGAAATAGTTCATATAGGGCTCGTTGGATGTGGATTTTGATAAGCATTATAATGGTGTTTTTCAAATTACTCTAATTTTATTTTTTCGTAAAATATTTCATTTTTTATTAACTTTTGTTAGTTAATTAATTAATATCTCGAAAACAAAAAATAATGCCATCTCAAAAATTTAACCATCAATTTATTATGACTTAAACAATATTCATGATTTTTTTCGCGCTTCTAAATGAGGGAGAACATAGTTAAAAGTTATAAACAAATTTTATTTTTTAAACAAATTGTTAAAAAATTAATATTTTTTAAAAAAAATAATTTTTTTCTAAAAGTTTAAGATCTTCCGCGTAAAAAACATTCACAACATTTTTCTCTATTTTTAATAGGAAAAAAGTTATAAGTAAAGCAAAAAAATATTGCTCAAATTTGTTATTGTAAATATCTCGAAAAATATTAAAAATTTCAAATTCAAAATTTGTACACTCATTTAGTAACGATATAAATATTTCTAGATTAAGCTTGCAAATATTAACACAATGCATGAAGAAAATATGAAAATTATTTGACCTTCTAACAATACACACTCACAAAAATAAAGCAATTTCTTCTGGAATATTAGATAATAATGACTTTGAAATCTTATCGTCCTGTATTCTTGTATATATTTTATACAACAGTATATTCTTTTCAATGCTAAATATTTCTCATCATTTTTCTATGGAAAAATTGAATATTTTTAAATTAAAAAATTAATTAAATAAATTCAACAAATTAAATAATTATGACAATGTACTGTAATTATTATTACAATTTATTAGTATAATTAGATACTATTATGTACGTCATTTTAATTTAATCCGATTTCCAGTTCTGGCCCCGGGTTGGTAAATTTCTATGGACCCGACCAGGGCCAGGCCTGGTTGCCATATTTAAATTTTTTTTAAAAACTAGTGAAAATACATTTATAGCATTTCATGACATTTTTTACTCTCTAAATCTGAATTAGTAAAAATGTTTACTAATTTAAATTCTGCATTTAAAAAAACACCTTATAAAATGAAAATGAAATAAAAGTTGAAAAAAATTATTTCAATAATTGTTTCGTTTACTCTCTAAATCTAAATTAGTAAAAATGTTTACTAATTTAAATTAGTAAACATTTTTACTAAAATTTTATTACTTTTTTTATTTTATTTTATTAATTTTACATTTTTAGTAAAAATGTTTACTAATTTAAATTAGTAAACATTTTTACTAATTCAGATTTAGAGAGTAAACGAAACAATTATTGAAATAATTTTTTTCAACTTTTATTTCATTTTCATTTTATAAGGTGTTTTTTTAAATGCAGAATTTAAATTAGTAAACATTTTTACTAATTCAGATTTAGAGAGTAAAAAATGTTTTTCAAATTACTCTAATTTTATTTTTTCGTAAAATATTTCATTTTTTATTAACTTTTGTTAGTTAATTAATTAATATCTCGAAAACAAAAAATAATGCCATCTCAAAAATCTAACCATCAATTTATTATGACTTAATCAATATTCATGATTTTTTTCGCGCTTCTAAATGAGGGAGAACATGGTTAAAAGTTATAAACAAATTTTATTTTTTAAACAAATTGTTTAAAAATTAATATTTTTAAAAAAAAATAATTTTTTTCTAAAAGTTTAAGATCTTCCGCGTAAAAAACATTCACAACATTTTTCTCTATTTTTAATAGGAAAAAAGTTATAAGTAAAGCAAAAAAATATTGCTCAAATTTGTTATTGTAAATATCTCGAAAAATATTAAAAATTTCAAATTCAAAATTTGTACACTCATTTAGCACCACTATCACTGAATCACTGAAATGTCTCATGTATAAAGATTAGTGTATAAATGTCTTGACTTACCTCTTACTCTGCCCATTTGTAGCACTGAATATAACCGTTTCCAGAAGAAATTCAAGAGATACTAACGATGAAAATAAGTTTTCTGTTTCCCCCTCACCCCCTCCCCCCTGTGGGTAGCTATTTCATAGCAAAATAACTAGGAGATAGTACGTTTATGTAATTGGTTGATATATAAGCAAATATTACAAATTCAGAAATATTTTTTTTAATTTTATTTGGTCATATTGTTATGGAGTATATCATTGAGCATATTTTTATAATGTAAAATTATTATATATTACCGTTTTTTAAATATTCAAGAAAATTGTCAAATTTAATCATTTCTTCAATTTCAATTAATGATACTATAGATAATTTTTGATATTTTGAATGGAAAAAACGAAAACGCGTATTTTTATAACCTATGACACATGAAAAAAGAAAAAAATGATTATATTTATAAAAAATATTTGAAATTTTGTCTTTGTGACATTGTAAAATCCAGGAAATTTAATTTTCTTATGTCATTTTTCAGAATTTTCACTTAACATAATTTTTATTCCACAAATTTTTTAAAGAACAAATATTATGCTAAACTAGAAAATTATTTTACATAATTTCAAATTAATGACATTTTCAATTTTTTTAAAAACCAAATTAACAGAAAGTTTTCGGAGCAATTTTTACAATCAACAAATTACAATTTTATAGATACTTTTTTATTGGTTGATTTTAAAAATCGCGCCAAAATCTTACTGTCAATTGTTTTTAAAGGGGTCATCCATATACCACGTAGCTACTTAAGGAGGAGGGGGGGTCTAGCGATTTGCTACGATAAGAGAAAAAAAGGCGTTTATGACTTAAACAATATTCATGATTATTTTTGCGCTTCTAAATGAGGGAGAACATGTTTAAAATTTATAAACAAATTTTATTTTTTCAAAAAATTGTTTAAAAATTAATATTTTTTTTAAAAAAGTTTAAGGTCTTCTGCGTAAAAAACATTTACAACATTTTTCTCTATTTTTAGTAAGAAAAAAATTATAAGTAAATTAAAAAAAAAATTCCTCAAATTTGTTATTGTAAATATCTCGAAAAATATTAATAATTTAAATTTCAAAATTTGTACACTTATTTAGCACCAATATCATTACAATTTACCGAATTTTGAGAAAAATCCGAGACATGACCCCGTATTCTCATTCCAAATTCTCATATGAAATGCCTCTGCTTGCTTCGGTTGCTTCGCAGTGGTGAGTGGTGGGAAGGTTTACAGTGGTGTGTCCCCACTACTCAAATGCTTATACGTCAGGTCCTTTTCACCGCGTCAGGTTGTTGAAAGAAGCGAGATAGATGGGAATTAGTTCCGCGATTCCCTTCCACATTTACTTTTTCCTTTTGCCCGTAGTAAGCAAAGATCGAGACGCATGAATATTATTTTTAATTAATTTGCTGAAAATTTGTCATTAAAAAGAATTAATTATTTAGCTGAATCTATAATTCTGCGAACCATATTTTTCACAGATTTCATATTAACAGATTCTCTACATTTCAGAATTTTTATAGCTACACGCAAAAAAAAGAAAAATTACACGGAGAGAAATAGATGGTACGGGGTACTATCTAGATAGTACCAGGTACCATATTTGATCTTACATATACGGACAGCAATCTAGATTCTATCAGTAACAATCCAGATTGTACGGAGTAACATCTTGATTATAGTGGGTAACATAACCATACTTTTTGTAACATCTTTGATAGAACCGAGTAGCATAATGATAGTACCGGATAATATCTACTTTTTACCATCTTAAGATCATAAGTTCTTACCATCTATTTCTCTCCGTGTAATTTTTACTACTTTCAGAGTAAAACCGGAACTGTTCGAAGTTTCTTCGCATCTCTGGCAACTTTTATTTCAAGAATAGTAAAATTTACTATTTTATTTCTGTAGTAAATTTTACTGTTTCTCTAGTAGTTTTTACTATTTATAGAGTAAAAGTTGCCAGAGATGCCGACAGTTCCGGTTATATGTGTCGTTATAATATCCGGCGGCTCATATTTTGTGTAGGACTATAAATATATGTACATAGCGGGAAATTTTTTTTAAATGATAAACAAATATATTTTATTTTTTTATTATTTAAGATTGGAATTGTAAAAATTTTTATGTTTTTTTTAAGGCGATTTTTTAGTATAAAGTGTCATGTAATATTAAATACCATTATACGCATGTAAAAAAACATGTATTATTATGTCATGTATTTTACGTATACCCATCACTGCCTACGGCCAATATATATATATGGGACGTTCCACGTCAACAAGGACAGGCTTCTGCCCAAAAATGGTTTTGACGGATTTCAATGTTCTAGGGATTAAAAAATTCGTAAATTTCTATACTTTCGAATGCCGAGTGGCGTTTTTCAAAATTTTAAATGGCGGCTCCATTATGGCGCATAAATGGCAGTAAGTTTGAAAATTTAAAAATAAATTTGTGAATTAAACGTCTTAAAGAATTCCATTCAATCTAAAACACCTCATACAACAGTTTTTGGGGTCGCTGAATGCAAATATAATGTTAGTTTTCCAAAATTCAAAATGGCGAATTCAAAATGGCGGTAAAAATTTTTAAAATTGATCAAAATGGCTTAAAACTTATTTCTCAGGGGTTTTTTGGGTCGCTTATTATGAATTTAAAGTTATTTTTAATAAATAAGCAAAAATAAAATAAATTTTAAAATGGTGGATCCAAAATGGCGGACAAATTTTTTTAAAAACGCTCGAAATTAATGGAAACTCTATTCTAGAGGGTTTTCTTGGCCGCTAATTACGAATTTAAAGTTATTTTTAATAAATAAGCAAAAATAAAATAAATTCCAAAATGGCAGATCCAAAATGGCGGACAAATTTTTTTAAAAACGCACGAAAATGATTGAAACTCTTTCCTAGGGAGTTTTCCTGGCCGCTGATTACGAATTTAAAGTTATTTTTAATAAATAAGCAAACATAAAATAAATTCCAAAATGGCGGACAAAAATTTAAAAAACGCTTGAGATTAATTAAAACTTTTCGGTATTCCCGAAAAGGACTGATTGTAGTTTAAATTGAAGATTTTGGAATTATGCAAACTGGTAGTCCTGAAAACGACTGATTGTAGTTTAAATTAACGATTTTGGAATTATGCTAACTTGTAGTCCTGAAAAAGACTGATTGTAGTTTAAATTAAAGCCAAAATAATGTGAACGAGCTAGGATAGTTTTTACAGTGGTGGGGATACGCGGCGTGGTAGGACCCAGCAACGCGCTGATTGGTCCGCCCGAGTCACATGATTTCTAGAACATGTCCATATATGGTCATATAAGAAGCGACTAATTGTGGAATAAAACTGGATCAATAGGTTTACTTTGTGACTGGCAATATTATTAAAAAAATTTAATTACCATTATTTTATTATTAATATGTGAAATCATTAAATTACAATTGAAGCCAGATCGACAAGCTCCGGTTCGATAAGACTGTTTCCTTCGGTTGCAAACTAGGAAAAGTAGAGAGCATAGTGAGGTTCTGCAGTGTCTGTCAGTAACGTATACCTAAAAGGATCTTTGTGCCCGATGTACTTCATATACATAACCGGAAAAATAAATTTGTATTTTTTTTTGTTTATCAATAATTTATTATTAATTAATTTCATTATATTCTATTATTAATAATACTATTCGACAATTATTAATTTTTAAAAATTTCAAGTTCCAAAGAAAGATGTACATGCATAAAATACTATGTACGGCTCTCTTTGTTTTCATTTTTACGTTCGGCAAGAAAAACCACCTAGAATAGAGATTCAATCATTTTTGGTCGTTTTTAAAATCTTTGTCCGCCATTTTGCAATTTATTTTATGTTTGCTTATTTATTAAAAATAACTTTAAATTTGTAATCAGCGGCCAGGAAAACTCCCTAGGAAAGAGTTTCAATCATTTTCGAGCGTTTTTAAAAAAATTTGTCCGCCATTTTGGATCTGCCATTTTGGAATTTATTTTATTTTTGCTTATTTAATAAAAATAACATTAAATTCGTAATCAGCGGCCATGAAAACCCCTTAGAATAGAATTTCAATTAATTTCGAGCGTTTTTAAAAATTTGTCCGCCATTTTGTATTCGCCATTTTGGAATTTATTTTATTTTTGCTTATTTATTAAAAATAACTTTAAATTCGTAATTAGCGGCCAAGAAAACCCTCTAGAATAGAGTTTCAATTAATTTCGAGCGTTTTTAAAAAAATTTGTCCGCCATTTTGGATCCACCATTTTAAAATTTATTTTATTTTTGCTTATTTATTAAAAATAACTTTAAATTCGTAATTAGCGGCCAAGAAAACCCTCTAGAATAGAGTTTCAATTAATTTCGAGCGTTTTTAAAAAAATTTCTCCGCCATTTTGGATCCACCATTTTAAAATTTATTTTATTTTTGCTTATTTATTAAAAATAACTTTAAATTCATAATAAGCGACCCAAAAAACCCCTGAGAAATAAGTTTTAAGCCATTTTGATCAATTTTAAAAATTTTTACCGCCATTTTGAATTCGCCATTTTGAATTTTGGAAAACTAACATTATATTTGCATTCAGCGACCCCAAAAACTGTTGTATGAGGTGTTTTAGATTGAATGGAATTCTTTAAGACGTTTAATTCACAAATTTATTTTTAAATTTTCAAACTTACTGCCATTTATGCGCCATAATGGAGCCGCCATTTAAAATTTTGGAAAACGCCACTCGGCATTCGAAAGTATAGAAATTTACGAATTTTTTAATCCCTAGAACATTGAAATCCGTCAAAACCATTTTTGGGCAGAAGCCTGTCCTTGTTGACGTGGAACGTCCCATATGTACAAATTTGAAGATTTATTAAGAAAAGATTCCAATTCTTTTTTCAATATGCAAAGTACTTATACTTTTATAGCCTTAATGAGGGGTGTTTAAATGTGCATCAAATGAAATATTTAATTAGATTGTTCCCTTTTAAACCAACAGTAGTTTTTGTAGTTGTTGATCAACAACCTTTTGG